GGGGAGGGCGGCCCTGCTCTCCCCGGCCGGCCGGAGCGCCGCCCCCCTCCAGGTGCCACCCCAAGCACATGCTTGGTAGGCTGGTGCCTGGAGCCAGCCCTGCTTCCACTGCACCAGGGACAGGCAGGGAATGTGAGGCCTACTTTGTACCATCGAACGGTGGGGCTCCTCTGTAGGGGAGAAGTGGGGGGAAACCTGAGGCAGAGACAGGAGCAGTGGATCTGAAAGAAAAACTCTCCTGATCCCTCGGTCAGTTTTAGAGTTACTCTCCCAGACAGAGTCTGGGGCTTGTCTTCACCACACAATCTAGTCATGACGGAACAAGACCTTGAAGGGGCAAGCTAATACATGCAATGCTGACACGACTTTGCAGTTGGTGTAGACGAGGGCAAGTGGTGGTGGAGGGAACATAGATTACTTTAAGCTATCTTTGCTCCCTCTAATATCAGAGAGTAACCCCCAGTAAAATGTAAAGCAGCTTCAAGGAGTTGCACTCTGGCCACATGCCCTCTTGACACACATCTATGCTAGAGACTGCATAGGAGACAGTGCCAGGCTGTTCTGCATTAGGAGTACTCCACAGTGGGGAGATGTGGTTGGGGTTTGCCATCGGAATAGGGTAAAGAGGCCAGAACATGGCCCATAAGCAGGACCCCTCCTCAGGACTGAAGATTATAATTTCCACCTTCCCAATGGCATTTCCCCACATGAAACTCTTTTACTTGGCTCCGAGAACCAAAATTGGCCTTGTGTAAGTGGCTCTCTGGTTGTATCCGTGGGACAGTTCTGCACTGTCATACTCATTCTCCCCTGCTACATGATATTCAAAGATTGTGGACTCTCCGAAGTTGGGGAAATGCAACCCATTTTTTGTCTCTGAACTTGACTTTTGAGATTCTAGATACCTCTGCATAGAGGCCAGTTTTTGTCAGGCACAAGGATTTTGGCTTACTGCAGCTTGTTTACATAAACTGCACCATTACAGCATGCTTTAAATAAGCCTCAGTATAGGCTGACAACAGAGGTCAATTCTGGATTGCAGAACAATTCTATTCTACTAATATCAGAAGTCTGCAGAAAAGAAAAAAGTAATCATTCCTGTGGGAGAGGCCTACAATTATCAGATGTGGAGACACTCTATGACCATTGCTCTTTCAACAGCCAACTCTAAACACTGACAAGTGGGGGGGCAGACAAAGACAGGGTGTCAGTCTTCAGCTTAAATTTCATCTTTTTTACTAGCTTGTCTCCCACAGTAACATCGCTGTGTTGAATGTGTCAGAGTTTATAGACATCTGTTTAGTAAATGTGTTCCTCAGGAAATGTATTCCAGCACCAAGCATTCATTAAGGTCCAAATCGTGGTCCCTTTGTAGTCAATGGGCATTTAGCCATCAGCTTGAATAGAATTAAGATTTGGTCTTTAGGTAGGCTTCCCCACAGTGCTATATGAAAATAATCACTTTGATTACAAAAAGAACAGGAGTACTTGTGGCACCTTAGAGACTAACAAATTTATTAGAGCATAAGCTTTCGTGGACTACAGCCCACTTCTTCGGATGCACTTTGATTACACTTTCTCAGGCCTAGTGCCATCAAGTTAATTATTCAGATTTCTCTGAAACAGATATGTAATTGCTTTTTTTTTTGTATAAATCTGTGTCTTGGATTAAACATTCATGCTATATATACAGTGAGCAGAAATAAACAGACTATGTCCCACTCTAATAAAAGTTTAATCGGGGTCTGATAGTATGAGCTAGGACACTTCATTTAGGCATATGTGTCAAGAGGGTCATTTCTCTTTTAGATACAAGGGAGTTTATATCCTGATTTTTAATGTTTGCATCCCTTACTTTTGTGCAGAGTACAGATGGACAAGGAGGCATCCAATGGCGAACACAGCTTAGAACAAATGGATATCCAGCAAAATTTCAAATCTAGATAAATGGAGAGAAATTTTTAATTGCTACAGGTAAGATTTTTATTCTGCATTGTTTTCACATATTCTTACAACCAGATAGTCTTTTGTTAGGGGTTTTACAAATTTTAATGTTTTATTTCTCTGTCTGCATTCTCAAATATATTTTAAAAAGGCAAGTATAATTCCTTGGTTTTAAGCTTTTTTTCCCCACTGGTCAAAGAAAATTGTACTAGGTTAATACTGCATTTATTTTTTTCAGCTGAGTTTTATTTTCACTTGCAGGTTGGAAATCAATAATACTTTAATACAGGTAACTGTTTTTCTCAAAGGTAACAATTTTGTATTTGTCTGCCCTTTTTTGTGACTGCTTCACTAGGCAATCCCATTTAAGAGATTAGTAATGTAACATGTATCACATTAGATGCTAGTATTCTCTTAAGATAATAATAATCAAACTGTAAAAAAGCCTGTTTTAGCAATTTCTTCTTATACATTTTTCCTTTGAGAAGCAAGCCTTCATATATTTGAAAGAGAAATGTTCATAATCACGTTCAAAGTAACAGAAGAATCTAGGGTAATGAACTTTTTTGTCTAACAGTCAAGAGTTGCTTGGTCAATTTTAAAACACAGGAAAGAAGACACAGGTGTTCAGAAATACAAAATGTATGTATTTGTAACCATTACCCAAAACCTTAAATTGGAAGTTGTCAGAGATTATATATTTTTGTACTGTAGTCATTAGAATGTGCTGAAGTTATTGGCAACCATTGATAAAAAAATAAAATGTGAGTCAAACAGACATGTAAACTGCATATTAAGCAATTTAAAACAATATGTACATATAACTCTTTCACCCTCATTAGTATTTAGGATAATATAATCATTTATGACTATAAAACCAATATACGACCTTAAATATCATGCACGTTTAAAATAAACTAACTTGAAATTAAAGGCATCACCTTTATTGAAGTCTGTTCTTAAATGGCTTCCTGAACAAATTTATTCTAAAGCAGAAATAGCTCTGGAATTATTATCTTCATTATTGTTCATGTCCTAATAGAGGACAGTGAAATAATTTAAACTCTTTAGAAATCCTATTCAAAACTAAGTGTATAAAGCAGAATGAAGACAAAATAAAAATACATATTAGATAAATAACATTTTGTAGGCAGGAGGGTTGAAAAACATTCAAAGTGCCTATGTGACAGCTTTGTCTGTTTGCAATAAAGCTTCTCTTTCAGTAGTTGCCTATGACTCAGATGATTTATTCACTAGATAAGAATGAGATCTTCTCCTGTTCTTTGGTAATCCAGACAGCTAGGAAGGCAGTTCTCTTGTCCAAGATTCAGCTGTCACTGGGTAACTTCTCCTGTAACTGCTTTCATTACCTGGCAAACTATGGACATCAGTCCAAAAGTGCAGCAAGTCAAAAGACGAGTAGATTCAAAGTTAAGTTATACTGAAATATTGCAGGAAGAGGTAAAGAAAAGCCAAACAGTAAGTAGCAAAGTATTTGTTTTATTCCTTTCCCAACCCCCAAAATAGAAATGCCCTACCTTGTTGGGAATTTGAGTCTTGAAAGCGATTTTGTGTGTGTGTTAGTTACCACAATGCAAAGAACAGAAAATTGTAGGAACTATGTGGCTTGAAACAGCCTTTAGAAAGATAATTATACACAAAAATTGCATCATTTGAGCAGTGTTGCACAATTACATGTCAGTCTGTCTCTTTAAATATATTGTTGTATTATTTCAAACCTAGTACATCAGTGTACTGATCATTTTATAGTTTCCTTTTAACTATCTGGAATTATATGACAAAGAATATGTATTCTTAATCTTTTACCACTTTTTTTTAATAACTTTAACTTCATCATGTCCACGTTGTTATGAAAAAAGGACACGTGGCGGGAGGCGAGGGCGGGGAATAATTTAGTAGGACCAAGCATAGGAATAAGCTAGCTTCTAACTGCTGCAGCTGAAAGAATATACAAATCCTGTTCATTTCTCTCTATAGAAATACCAAGAAAATCACAAATCTGATTATGACAACAAGGATGGAACTGGAGCATCTCAGTTTAGAAGTTCCAAAAAGCAGGGACAGTTTCTATCCAATATCCCTTTCTCAATTCCCAAACCGCTTACAGTCTCTTCAAACCTGGGCGGCCTGCCTATCTCCCTAGAAATGGCAATGGTAAGCATATCTTGTCAATTAAGCATGAGCTGTAATTTCACCTCACCAAATAAAGAGAGACGTGGGAACCTTATCTGGTGTTATATGAGGCTTAGATTATTATTGGATTCAAGGATGCAGTTTGTTGGTATTGATAAAAGAATATAATTTTAATTATTTATTTATTATGCTTTTAAAGAACACAGTTGCTGTACAAGCCACAAAACTGATAGAAGACAATGTTTATTAGGTACTATGACAAATAATAAAGGATAATGTTTCTTTGCTATTTGGTATTTTTGTTGCCTAGTGCAGTGGTGCTCAAACTTTTCCAGTCACGCCACCCCCCCCCCCGCAACAGAATTTGTCTACACACACACACACACACACACCTCCGTTACTGCACAGCCAAAGCTTCCTCAGCAGCAGAGCTTGAGCTGAAGGTGGAGCTGAGGGAAGAACTGAGGATGGAAGAGGAGCTAGAGCAAGAGGCAGAGGCAGGCTGGGGCCCAAGCAGGAGGCTCAGTGGAGCTGCAGCTGGGCTCAGAGCTAGTCTGGGGGTGTCACGGAGTCCCCAGGCGATGCTCTGGAACTGCTCCCCACAAAGCCAGTCAGGACTTTGGGGAGCCTCCTCTTCCTCAGAGCAGACCGTCTTCAGGGCAAGAAGCTCACACAGCGTCACCTCCTGGGTCTCTCCTGGGAGCATTCAGCATATGCCCCTCCGTGCGCTTCCCACAGCGAGTCCGCCCCGGCAGGGTCCTGGGGAAGCCAAAGAGTTCTGCACCCCCCACTTTGCAGTCAGATGTGACTCTCAGCCAGCCAGTAAAACAGAGGTTTATTAGATGACAGGAACACGGTCTAAAACAGAGCTTGTAGGTACAGCGGCGAACGGGACCCCTCAGCCGGGTCCATTATGGGGTTCAGAGAGCCAGACACCCACGTCTGCCCTCACTCCTAGTCCCCAGGTAGCTCTAACTCTGAAACCCCCTCCAGCCCTTCCTTCTCCCGGCTTTGTCTCTTTCCTGGGCCAGGAGGTCACCTGATCTCTTTGTTCACCTTTAGCTATTTCCTTGCAGGGGGGGAAGGGGCCCTGGCCATTTGTTGTCAGGGAGACAGAGTGTCAGTGATTTATGCACACTGGCCTTTCCCCACCACCTAGAGACTTAAGAAATGCATAGGGGAAACTGAGGCACCCACACAGTATTCAGAGGAAACATTAAGAACAGTCCCACTTCGTCACAGGGAGTAGAGCAGGGGGCGTAGTGGAGCTGTGGCTGGGGTTGGAGCTCACATGAGGGCAGAGAGGGAGTGAGGGTGGAACTGGACCTGGAGGTGGAGCAGGACTGGGGGCTGAACAGGGTTGGAGGCAGAGCTGGTCTGGGGATGGAGCGGGGGTGGAAGCATGGAGCTCCCTCCCTGCTCCCCATAGGAGCTGGCTCCAGCCCCATGTGCCCCCCAAACATTCCTCTCTGTTCCCCTGGGGGGCACTCCACACTTTGAGAACCACTGGCCTAGGTGTCAGAACACTGGTCATAAATTCAGGAGATTAGGCAAGTTTTTTAAGTCACTAAATATTTTGGGGCATGATCCTGCCAGTCCCTCATATGCAGAATCTCCATTGGCTTCAATGGGATTTTTGCAGATGGGGAACTTGCAGAATTGGTCTTTGATGCCTACAGGCTGTAAGGATCAATAAAAATCCCAGTCATCTGTCAATGTACAACACCCATGTAACATAAAGCTCAGGCATTTAACACAAAGGGTAAAATTCTGACAAGAAATCTGCATTGGTTAACACCCTCAAAATAGAAAGGAAGGGTCAAGTCCTGCAAAGACTTATGTATGTGAACGACTTTGCTTACATGAGTAGTCGCACTGACTTCAAATGAATCTCTCCACACTGGATAAAACAGCCTGTGTGCATAAATCATTCCATCTCTGACATGGAGTACCTTAATCCGAGGCTGTGCACAGCGGGACCCATGATGTTTGTCCAGGACCACCCTACCCCGACTGGTATGGGGAACATGCTCCCTTTTGGATAAACCAAGCTCCTTTTTTTTATGCCACACTCCCACGAGGTGAACACCACAGGCAGGTGTTCCCATTAAGTATTTTCTGAGTAGACGTGCAGCACAGTAAGTGATCAGTGCATAGTGGCTTTTTATCCATTTTGAATGGGCAAACACGCATATACATTGCTTCACTCATGTGAGTAGGACTAAAGGGATGAAGGCATTGCATTAGTGAGAGTGAGCAGCCGTGCCAGTTCTATGCTTCGCCTTACACAGGAGACTTCCCCAGCAGCCAGTTAAACCAGCTGTATGGCCCCTTTGCATCTCTGGGGTAAAGTCCTGGCCCCATTCAATTCAGTGGGAGTTGTACCACTGACTTCAGTGGGTCCAGAATTTCATGCCTGGAATTACATAAAAGAGCAACAGCAAATCTGAAAAAGTGGATCCCTTTAAAGTAGGTGCTATAACCTAAAATTAATAATTCAGCCTAGAGCTATATTTTATTGTAATTGAGACCTGAAGTAAGTCATCATGACTAACCAAAAATGTTTCCTTTCCTTTCATGTCACAGGGCCTGATTCTCACAAAGGGTACATCTATATATGAGCTGGGAAGTGCAATTCGCAGCTTGCATAGATGTACCCATGCTGGTTCTGCTCGAGCTTGCACCTAAAAATAGCAGAGTGTCATTGGTGGCATTCCCCCACTCCCACAAGTACAATCTCACCTGGCCCTTTGGGTACGTACTCAGGCAGCTAGCCTCGCCCCTGCCTCTGCCACATGAATGCACTGCTATTTTTAGGCACATGCATATATAAGCAAGCTGGGAATTACATTTCCCAGCTTAAATGTAGACGTACCCTATGACCACTTTACACTGCGTTGGCAATGTGAAGGAAGGTGCCTTAAAGTGAATGTAAATGTAATTTACTCCTAATTGAAGGCCCCTTTACGTTGCTAAAGTGGTGTAAATTGGCCTTAGTGTAAATGAGAATCGGACCTATTCTATCTTTATTCCTCTCATCTTAAGGGGCTCCGAAAGATGTTATTTGGAAACACATTCCACGTCTTCAGCTATGAATGGAAAAAATCATGTTTCAAGTTCCACGCTCCATATTCTGAACTATCCTATGCTTTGGAGGCAGAAAAGGTAAATTTTTATATTTAATGACTGACCATGTACACCTCTACCTCGATATAACGCTATCCTCGGGAGCCAAAAAATCTTACCACGTTATAGGTGAAACCGTGTTATATCGAACTTGCTTTGATCTACCGGAGTGCACAGCACCGCCCCCCCGGAGCATTGCTTTACCGCATTATATCCGAATTTGTGTTATATCAGGTAGCGTTATATCGAGGTAGAGGTGTATTTTCAGTATCGCAGAGTGAACTGCTGGGATTTGCAAATGTACTCCAATTTTACCTGACTCTAATTCTGCGTGATCACACCTGAACACTGTGCTCTATTCCAGGCATCTAAATACCAGAAATATGGACAAATTAGAATGGGTTCAGAGGTGATAATTATGGGTCTGGAAAGAATAATTTACGAGGCGAGATTACAAGAGTTGAATATATTGCATGGTTAAGCAATGACTGAGGGGGGACAAAGCAGTCTGCAAATGTCTAAAGGCTATAAATACCAAAAAGAGAGAGGATTTATTTATAATAGTACTAGAAGTAATGGGGTGAAATAGAGCTTGAGACATTTCTGCACTTTTCCCCTTTCATGCCTTTGGCGGCCTCTTTAATTTAGAGATTTCCAGTATGATTTGTAATGAAGTGCTCTGTTCTTCCTCTAGGCAGTGAAACTGCACACAGGAATCTAACCATAAAGAGAACTCTTCAGTTTACTCCCCTATCTAGCAGTGGGATTTTCCTTCCTGTTTCTTTTGTCTTGCTCCTTCAAGGTTTTGTTTTTTTCTGTAATAACTGTCCAGATATGATTACTATTGCTCTTCTTTTGTTTGTATTTGTTATTTTGCACAGATTTACCAGCTCTGTTTTGCTCGTGTTCAGATCCCTCTGTTCATTTACCTTCTTCTATTTATAAAACTTGTTTCTTCAATTCAGTCCCTTCAGATTTCCTCATCCAGTCCACTCTCTAGTTTTTCTCATGGGTTTCTGTCATTCCCTAGTCCATAGAGTCAATCCTGAGGTCTGTATTTCCAACTTCTTTTAAACTTTTTAATCATCCTTTACATAGCCTTCCACTATTTTCGTTATTTTTCTCCATGAAATGCACTGTAGAGGACTTCAAATCATATGCATGCTCCCCAATATTTTCTCTAAGGGCAATTCAAAATATGTCCCATAAGGGAAGCCCCAACATGTTTCTAGATCAGGGGTGGGAAAACTTTTTGGACCGAGGGCCACATCTGGGTGGGGAAATTGCATGCAGGGCCATGAACGTAGGGCTGGGGCAGGGGGCTGGGGTGTGGGTGGGAGTGCGGTGTGCCGGAAGGGCTCAGGGCAAGGGGTTGGGGCGCAGGAGGGGTGCAGCAGAGGGTTGTGGTGTGGCGTGCAGGAGGGGCTCGGGGTGCAGGCTCTGGCCCAGTGCTGCTTACCTTGAGTGGCTCCGGAGTGGCAGCGGCATGCAGTGGGGCTAAGGCAGGCTCCCTGCCTGCCCTGGCCCCGAGCCGCTCCCGGAAGCGGCCAGCACCATGTCCCTGCGGCCTCTGGGGGAAGGGGTGCAGAGGGCTCCATGTGCTGCTCTCACCTGCGGGTACTTCCCCCAAAGCTCCCATTGGCTGCGGTTCCCCGTTCCCAGCCAATGGGAGCTGCAGGGGGCAGTGCCTGCAGGCGAGGGCAGAACATGGAGCCCTCTCCCCCCGCTGCTTCACCAGGGGCCACAGGGACGTGGTGCCGGCCACTTCTGGGAGCAGCACGGGACCCGCGGTACCACGGGGGTGGAGATCGCGCAGGCCTGATCCAAAGCCCTGACGGGCCGGATCCAGCCCACAGGCTGTAGTTTGCCCACCCCTGTTCTAGATCCACATAAGGAACAAACGTGATAACGTTTCACTTTAATCGAGCAGGCATGTACTTAAGTTTGAAAACATGAGTAGTCCCAATGTAATTAACATGCTTAAAGTTACACACATGCTAATTGCTTTGCTGGGTCAAGGCCTTAAAAGAAAAGCAAGATGACTGCAGTAAGCAATTAATGTTGTGAATGTCCACAATCCACTATTTATGTAGTAATGCTTTCTAGCAATTCCATTTAACCTCACTGAAATACTTTTAGCAAGTCCAGCCGAAACTTTCTAATCTTGAATGGTCTGTTATTGCTTAATTTATTAATTTAGGCCTCAGTTGCACTTTTCAGCAAGGAGCTTTCGGTAAGGAGCTACTTGTGCTACTCTAGACGCAGATCAGGAATCAGATTGCGATTCAGAGAATCTGGTCCCTCTAGTGCTCTGGAAGGCTGTTGGGGAGGGGGAGAAAATACCCAGATGCAACCTGAACCTGCCCTATATCTAGAGCAGACTGCTCTGCTAGCTACTCAAGGCTCCACCCACACTCTGCCCCTGCCTGCCCACTGCCCAGGATGAGAAGTAGTGGCTGACCAGCAGCTGCTCTCTTCCCATGTTGCTACGCACCATACAGATAGCTGTAGCCAGCACGCGGGAGTAGGGGGGACATCTTTCCAGCATAGGCATATAGCCAGGGTCAAAATTGTGCCCTTTCTTGGATAGCGATTTCCTATTTTTAGGTTCATAAGCCCTCTCTCTACTTACTTTTCATTTATCTCCAGAGCTGTCAGTAGCATGGTGGCCATTCTGAAGTCTCAGACAGGCTAGACAATTTACTGACACTAGTACTTGAAAGCTAAAACTTTGGTCAGAGACTCGACTGGAATTAGCATAAAGTCCACATAGCGCATGGTAGTTTGGTTCCACTAGAATATGGGGCAGTGGGTTGGTCATTTATGGTTTTTTTAACTCTGATTTTCTTCTAGGGAGGAGCAAGAGCAATTCTGATGGCTGTACAGGTGTACATCATTAAATACTGCTTGTTCGTAAGAAATAGAGAGGAAAATATTCCCCTCCAAAGGTAAGAAAATGTACTTTCCCACACAAAAAAATACTAATTACTTACATTATTTGGACATAAACAGAAAGAATAGTGTTGTCCTATATGTTATACAGAGACAGAGTCTATTCTCCATTATGCTTCTGCAAGTCCAAGCGTGAAGAGTAGAATCTGGTCCATTTGCTATAGATTTTTCTCTCAGAAACCTTTTAGTTTTATGGCCAAGGGACTTGCTTGTTTGGCCCATTTTGAGTTGTGGTGACCAGAACTTATGGACAATTTCCATGCTACATGGTCGGCCTTCGTACTGGCAACTGAAATTAAAAGCCTCCCCTGATCTCAAGCACATTCTTTGTCAATGTTTGAAAGGAGAAGGAAGGGGTCAGCAGTCATTGCAAAGGACACCAATATGGTAGCGCTAAAATGAATGAAAGCCCTGAAAACCATCCCCTTCTGCATGTGGGGTCCTTCTTAATGATATCAAATGCATGTGCTGACTGCACCGTTTGGTAAAGAGCCAGATTTGGGATTCAGGCTGGCTGATTGGCTGAATATATTGTAATAGGAATGCACCGGTGTTTTTAAGGAAAAAGTAAGCTGTTTGTGCTGCAGCTCCTTTCTTAGCAAATCCTTCCAGTTTCCAATGTGATATCTTCCTTGATGGGTCCAAAATCTGAGTAACCACATAGGTCTAGATTTTCATCTGGTGTAAGCTGGCATAACTGCACTAGCTGAGGTTGTGACTCATGGAGTTCATGGGCCTGATTCTTTTCTCACCCTGGTGTAAATCATGATGACCTCCATTGAAATCAATAGAGTTACACTGGTGTAAAGTAGCTGAGAACCAGGCTATGTGGGTTGACAAGTATTTCGCTATGACAGCCACAAAACCACTAAATCAGGGGTGGGCAAACTACAGCCCACGGGCCACACCCAGCCCATCAGGCCTTTTTATTTGGCCCTCGAGCTCCTGCCGGGGAGTGGGGTCAGGGGCTTGCCCTGCTCTGGCGCTCCAGCCTGGGAGCTGGGTCGGGGGCTCGCTGCTCGGCTCCCGAAGCAGTGGTATGTCCCCTCTCCAGCTCCTATGTGTAGGGGCAACCAGGGGGCTCACCGCACGCTGCCCCCGCCCCAAACGCCGCCCCCCGCAGCTCCCATTGGCCTGGAACCATGGCCAATGGGAGCTGCAGGGGGAGCGCCTGCGGACGGGGCAGAGTGCAGAACCGCATGGTTGGTGCTGCGCCTCCGCATAGGAGCCGTAGGGGGGCATGCCACTGCTTCTGGGAGCTGCAGTGGGTGGTGCCTGTGAATGGGGCAGCGCGCAGAACCGCCTGGCCACGCCCAGGGCCACCAAGAGCAGGTTTGGGCCCCGGTGAAAAAAAAATTTGGGGCCCCCCAGCAAGGGGGGACCGGCTAAACAGGGCCGACGTGAGGCGGGGGAAGCCAGGCCCTGGGCCCCCTTCCGGACTGCCGGGCCTCGGTAATTTGTACCGGCTTCCCCCCCCCTTGTCGGCCGTGGCCACACCTCCACGTAGGATCCGGAGGAGGGACATGCCACTGCTTCTGGGAACTGCTTGAGGTAAGCGCTGCCTGGAGCCTACACTCCTAGGCCCCCCCCCTCCACCCCAACCCCTGGCCCCAGTCCTGATCCCCCTTCCGCCCTCTGAACCCCTCAGTCCCAGCCCAGAGCACCCTCCTGCACCCCAAACCCCTCATCCCCAGCCCCACCCCAGAGCTCGCACCTCCAGCCAGAGCCCTCAACCCCCTCTGCTCCCCAGTGCTCTGCCCCAGCCCGGAGCCCCCTTCCACACCCTGAACTCGTCATTTCTGGCCCCACCCCAGAGCCCATACCCTCAACCAGAGGCCTCACCTCCTCCCACACCCCAACCCCCAATTTCATGAGCATTCATGGCCCGCCATACAATTTTTATACCCAAATGTGGCCCACAGGCCAAAAACTTTGCCCACCCCTGCACTAAATACTATTTGAAAATAACTCAATGGCTCAAATGTGTTATTTAGAGAATAAGTTAACAAGAATATGGTCAAACCAAGGGCCCAATCCTTTTCCTGATGAACCAAAAAAAACACATTGCTGTCAATGGGACCAGGCCCTAATACTTCATAGGTTATGCCATGCAGCACTGAAACCCCCCAAAAAACAGCCCAAGGTTCAGAGAGATCAGGCAGGATTTAACATGAACTTGCTTAGCCCTAGTTCAGGTGATAAGACAAAGAGGGTAATCAGGATAGCTCAGTAAAGCTGCACCTGCTATAAAGGCAGATCTTCCTTTCTCTGGCAGTGACAGACTCCAGTAGCACCCGCAGAGAAACCAAAAGAGAGATACAACATGAGCAAAGATCTAACAGAGACTTTTAAACCCCTCTCAGTGAAGAGTGGAGGGGGGCTAATACAGTAAAGTGGAGTGGGAACGCATCCGAAGGGGTGGGAGCCAGTGTGGCATGGTCCTCCCGCTCAGAACGCCTGAAACCTCTTCCAGCCATGCTCGCCATCCCTCTTTAATGGCAGCAGATAACCATGCAGGAGCTAATGCAGCTGCTAATAACACTGACTTAGTGTGTCATGGATAGCCAATGGCGGCACCATTCTAGGGACAGGCAGCAGAGAAGCAGGAACCTCAGGGCTGTCGCTTTCATACTCTGTCCTCCTCCATCCCTCTAAGCTCATCCCCATTAGAGGATCATTTGCCAGAAACACTTCAAGGTTTCTTAAGTCCTCTGGCCTCCTCTCACAGATTTTACTGTGGGGATAGAATCTGGTTGTCAATTAAGGCCAATCTAAGTACATATTTTATTGTGTCAGGGATCAGGTTATTACGTGATAGTATCCTGACCATGCCATAACACAGCTTGGTCTCACCTACGCAGCCAGAGGCAACCCAGGTTAGAGAATGAATATTAGAACCCTAACCTTCATTGAACTGTAGCATAATTCTGTAGCATGATTATAAAATGGTTCTAACACAGGAAAGACCAAATCATGTCAGAACACAGGGCACTCGTTTATAATAAGAAAACCCTTCAACATCATAATGTTTGTAACAGCCTTGGCTACACTCAGGAACCACCCTGATTCAGCAAACAATCGCCAGCAGCTGGTGTAGCTACGCTTGTGCCAGTCCTTTAGCTCATTTGATGCAAAGCCCAGTATGGCCCTGTCAATGTTTAGATGCCAGCACTGAGTGCCGAATCAGGGCTATCCCTGAGCATACACAATGCCTTAGAGTTTTCCGGTGGTAGGCTCATCTGCCATTGTCATGCCTTTCATATTCTTTTGTGTCCTGCATTACAGTTTACGTGAAATAAGCCAAACAGAACAAGAAAACACTCTTGCAGAGTCTCTGGGAGATATTCTGTGGACAGCAGGGGAAGGTCGGAAAGCCACTGTATGTCTTGTCACCACTGATACTTATTTTACGCCCAGTATAGACTACAAAGTAGATAACTTGACTGAAAGAGTAAGTAAGAAGATACCTTTTATAAACAAGATTTGCAGAAAAAAAGCAGTTTGTTGTTTTTTAAAGACAAATATAAAATCTCATAAACCTGTGCCCTACCTTATGATACATTGCAAATTATAAGCACTTTAAGATTCATGTCACAGCTGGAGCTCTGAAAGGCATTTCTGTCTCTTTATAAAGGCTTTATATGAATCCAGAGCCTATAATTCTTTTTTAATAACAACTATGATTTCTCCCACCCCCCTAAAAGGGCAAACAAGTTAACTTTATAACTATTTATTTAGTTATCCTGTATATAATTGAATGCCTTAGTTCAGGCAGAGTCAGATTAGATTCCTATATTTTTCTTTTGTTTGTCTGAAAGAAATAAAACAGTGGGTTGAAAACTCCACTTTTGGATATAATTAATGTCTTCTGTTCTATTTTTTTCTTATGTTCCTCACTTACAGCTCCTGCTGTTTGAATTTTTTGGGAAAGAAGCGGCTCAGAAATTTATCTGTGATCATATACAATGTGTAAGTGAGGAATAAGCAATTTCTTATGTTGAGTTATTTTGCTGCTTCCCACCCATCCTATTTCTTTTATAAAAACTGATCTTGCAGTTGGTTTATAACATCATATTTAATGTGATCTTCAGAAACTTAATGAACTTGTCATGAATCATTTCTGATTTTCACTACAGGAAATTAGAACAATACATTACTTGGCTTGATCCTGCTCTCAATGAAAGTAATGGGAGTTTGGCCAGTGACTTCAATGGCATCAGGATACTCCACTCTATGTAATCTGGAGCTAAATTTTATGTTAATGAAAAAGTGGTTTGTAAAAATACAAAAAAAATATATAGTCACTAAAATCATTTGTTAAAATCTGCAAACAAAGAAAACAACAAATGGGAATGCATTTCATCCAGTATTTTCATCTAAGATTATAGCAGAAGGTGCAAGGAAAACAAATCTGAAGAGTTAACAGAGGAGGTATCTCAACCAATCAAGGGGAACTGCCATAATTCCTTCTTTGTTGTTGTTTTTTATCAGTTCAAAGGTGAAGGAAGCCATGGTGTGATCTTATTTCTATATAGCTTGCTTTTCTCTAGGACATTGGAAAGGTAAATTATGTCTTTTTTAAAACCTTCTATACATGTTTAGCAATATCTTATGAAATGGTCTATTTCCTTATGACACTGGGAAGAATTAGGAGAGGGAAGCCAAATTACACCTGTATTGTACCAACTCTTATCACATAGATAGTGTTGATAGTGACTGAAAGTCAATGGGACTTAGACATCTAACTCACTATGGGGTTTGTATACACTCAAAAATTATCATTTTAACTATACTAATATAGGTAAGTGGTACAACCTCTAGCCCCACCCTAAGAACGGATGCAATTGTATTGGTGTAAAGGTGCTTTATACTGGTATAGTTATTCCTATGTAGGATAGGGAATAAGCTGTATTGATATAAGGCAGTTTTATACCAATATAACGGCATCCACACCAGGGTTGTACCAGTATTTTAGTTAAAAAAAATTATACCCCTAACCAAAACAGATATAGCCATACAAAATAGATGTGTAGTCCAGGTCTTAGGCGCTTTTCAAAATGTTACCCACTAACATTTCAGTTCAATTCCTAAAGATAGGTATTAGAATTGTTAATAATAGTTATTAGAAAATGCTAGAGATCACCCAGAACCAAACCTTGTGAACCAAACATACATAAATTTTGGGAAAGTTTGAGTCTGGTTCTAAATTTGAATTTTGCATCTCATATCCAAATCTAGTAAAAGTTAAACCTGGGTGCAAAAATATAGCTAGATCACCACTGCCATGCCTGTAATGAAGGGAAACAAAAGAACCCTTAGGAACATAGTGCCATTTTAATTTTTCTTTACAATCATACACTGATGTACAGAGTCATTCCTATCATTCAGCTGACACCACAATAATACTTTGTTTTTGGTTGCACAGGCTCCAAAAAGACCTAGACTTCACAACATCTCATCTGTTACAATTCAGTCTTGGAAACTTCAGCTGTAGACAGGTAGGACTATGTGATTTTTTTCCTAAATGGTTCTTATAACATATGTGTAATCAGTTTACCGAACATTCACAATTGTTAGTAAGACCCACCTAAAAGTAGATGGTTCCACTTCCAGATATGGTCAAAAGGTATTTCTGAAGCTTTAGAATCGTATTGACTGTCTTAACATTGGCGTACACATTTTAGGTCAATTTCCATTATTGCTTCTAGTCTTTTCAATTTCAGGAAGAATCCATCAAGGAGTTCCCAATTACAAAAATATTTTTATGATTTCTTAATTTCAATTTAAAATATAAAAAAGGACATCTGTACACAAACTCTAGATTCCTGGCCACAATTAAACTTGTAGTCACAAAAAATATCACCACAAACTAAAATACAATGAAATAAACAAACCAGCCAACAGAGAGTAGATGCCACGGTTTGGCACAGTAGATATCTCCATCCCACCCCTCTCAAAAGCCCATTGCCTCAGCTCTACACATGCCCTCTCAAACAGATGATTTTTACAGTTCATGGTTCATACAACTACCATAGCTGAGGGTTGGTCTCCCAGAATTTGAATCACTAATGTTACCCAGGATGAAGATGATTTCCTACAACATTTGGTGGCTGAGGTAGAAAAACAGTCATAACTTTTACTATGTTTTGTTAAAAGACAAATGTTCGGCCATAAAGGCAAATGTTATGGGCCAGATCCTCGTTCAATGGACTTTAACATGAGTTTCCACCAGCTAAGGATCTGGCACCTATTATTTGCAGAGAAGAAAAGCAGATTACTGTGTTGGATGTCTATGTCCAGAAAGGACAATGAGGATTGAGAGCCATTGTTATGGCGTTTACTGTTGCAGGGTGCTGTGTTTTATTGCCAAGGGCATTGCTGGGCTGTGTAAAGCTGCAGGCATTCTTCTGATATCTGTTATAGTGGCTTCATTAGGCATTTTTCCACCTCCCAAAATTATGTGGCTTTGGGGGCAAAAGATCATAAAAACAAGAAATTAAGTCAAAAAACCTGCAAAATTGGAAAGATTCACAAGGGGCTTGTCTAAGTTTGGTATTTTTTCAAAAATAGGGCCAGTTTTGGATTTTTGACAAAATGCAAAAATGCTCACATGGCAAGCATTACAAATGTATCTGCAAATATTTTCCTGCCTCTAGCTGCTTGAATCAAAAGGCATCAGAAGGTACAGATCGCCTACCTGGGTCAATCTTCAAGACACACTAAAGGATAATACAGAAGTACAAGCAGGAGTTAGGGGAAAGTGAATACAGTAACTCCTCACTTAAAGTCGTCCCAGTTAATGTTGTTTCATTGCTGATCAATTAGGGAACATACTCATTTAAAGTTGTGTAATGCTCCCTTCTAAGGTTGTTTGGCAGCCGCCTGCTTTGTCTACTGCTTGCAGCAAGAGCAGCCCGTTGCAGCTAGCTGGTGGGGGCTTGGAACCAGTGTGGACCAGCAGCCCCCCTATCAGCTCCATGATCCCCTAAGTTCCCTGTGCAGCAGCTGCCCAGCAGGCTAGCAATTGCAGCTGTCCCTCCCCCCACTGCCATGTGCTGCTCCTGCCCTCTGCCTTGGAGCTTGCTGTGCGGGGGGCAGGGAAGGAAGAGAGGGGCTAATGTCAGGGTGTCCCCCTGCTCCCCGCTTACCCCATCTTCTATAGAGCAGGGGGGGACACACCAGGGCTCAGGACGGAGGGAGCTTGCAGCAGCTGCCATCTCAGCAAGCTGATCTAATTAACAAGGCAGTGTACTTAAAGGGGAAATGCGCATATCTCCCTCCATTCCTGCTGCCTTGTAGAGTGAGAGA